TTTCCAGATCACTGAACTGTGCAATACCTTTAAAAATGGGATGACAAAAGGTCGCAGTGGGAAGTTAGTAGCTTCTTGCAGTTTGGAATGAAATTCTTCAATTGTCAAAGTAGAATTCTGTTGAGAAAAAAAATTCTGTCTTGGTGACAAAATAATGAAAATACTTCGTAAGAGAAACAGTAACCAAAGCACTCTGAAATTGCTTAGTAACTCCTTCTTGATATTGATAAGAGGATAAAGAAAATCATGCCGCAAATTAAATTATTACCTTATTAAAATACTCAAAGGAAACCACCAGCATCTCAGACAGTCAGTGCCTGTTGCTTAGAGTACAGTTTAAACTCTCAGGTGCTAATCATGGAAATGCTTTCACATTTCAAACATCAGTTAAAGCTGCTTTTCTCAACATTTTTTTCCTATTGGAGCTTCTTGTAATTTTGTTCCCAGTGCAGAAGTGGTAATTAACATACACACACACACAAAAATCACATTTTTTAAAGGCACATTCCTCGTTGTTTGAGGAAGAAAACTGCACTTTGCCTCTTGTACTTATAAAAAGGATTGCTTACTATGTTCCAGGCTATGAAGGAAAGTCATTACTTTGCAGCTGAGGGCATAATCATGAAGACCACATGCTGCACAGTGTTGACCAAGGGAATAACATGATGTGTGGACATTCCCAAGGAAAAGATCCTAACTTGCTCCTCAGAGCTCAGACAGAGGTAGAAATCAACTGTAATTAACAGTGGGCAAGCACTTTTGATCTGAAAATTAAGGGCAGGTAGATGCTCCCAAAGCTGTCTTCAGTTTCTTTACTAGTTCCCCTTTCCACAGAGAACCGTGTGACAAGCAAAACCACATTCAACAGGCGTTTTGGGTAAGGAAGCAAATGGAGAGTAGGACTTACTGAAGTTACGCTGCCTACATTAGACTTCCTTTTGACACAGACTCAAGTGCAGGGGTACCAGTTGCTGTCAGGTAGTGTTTTGTGAAGATACAAGCAGAGGTTGCCTGGGCCCTAGTACTAAACAGTGCTGGCAGTCTTTGCTCCAAATGAAGTCAATGGCAACTGCAGCTGCTCAGAACAGATGTAAATTAGAGCACCACAACAGCATTTTTCCTGGTACATCTAATTATTGCTGAAGGAGATGCATGGGAGACAACAATGTCTGGCAGAGAGGGTGCTTTACTGGGAATGAAAAGAATCCTGGTCCAGATTCACAACAGTTTGTCTATAAAAAAAAGCAGCCCAACTTGACAGATGTAGGTAAGAAAAAGCTGAAATTATGATTCAGCCATATAGTCACATAAAGATAACCTTATAAATAAGGTGACTTAAGCAGCAGCAATGCCCTGCCAGATCCCTCATTGTTGGGTCCAATGAATACTGAGAAAAGGTTTTCTGCTGCGTAACCGCAGTACAAACATATCTTCCGCTCATCCTTTTAACCAGTATTCTGCCACTACACATATAGGGCACTCTCCCCAGCCAACTAACTAGGCAAGCCAAACCATATTTTATGACATTATATAATTCAAGGTATGTCTACATTAGAGGTGCTGCCAGTATAGAACGAAAACCCTTTCACACCATTACAGCATAATACTATACTGGCAAAAAGAGTCAAGTCTACATCTGGTTGGGAATAGCTGCCACTCATGGGAAGCCAGTCAAGTTACTCATGTTAGCTCTGGCAGCGAGAGCCAGCACTTCATTCTTGCATGTTTGGTATCCTAAAGTATGATATATGCAGTGTATGCAACCCACTCATTCATATAATAAACATGTCAAGCATAAAAGAAGGAAAAGGAGACGAAAAGATCACAGTTATATTATATCATTGGTTTTCTGCTTACCACAAGTCCTAGCACAAGGGTACGCACTCTCTCCCCAATCTCTGGTGAAATGTCATTGCCAAACTGCTGTAAGGTTGTAAGAAATCTCTTCAGTTTGCTGAGTTGCCTAGCTCCACAAGCTGGCGGTAACTGCTGGTTAGCCAGAGAAGAGGAAGAGGAAGAGGATGGCCCATTGCTAAAGCCATTAGGAGGAGATGGAGCTCCATTTAACGCTGTTGGTGAATGGCTAGTGCCATTGGTTACTGAAAGAAAAAGAGAGAAGGGAGGATAACATGGGGGGGGGGGAAGAAAGAGAGAGAGAGAGAGAGAGAGAGAAAGAAGACAGAGGGGAAAATCCATCAGCTCATGTTTTCTGTGCTTGACCTCAAAATTAATTAAGTTGCACAATCAAAGATAATTAGCCTTTTGACAGAGCGACACTCTGCAGTTTATATCTATTTCCCAGTAGCTGGTACTGAACAGCGTATGGATTGGAAGCAACAGCAGCTGCCTCTCACACAGCTCCCCCCAAAAGTGCTCCTGGACCTGAAAAGCATCATTTGAATACCAGCCTTTTATCAGAAGACTTTAAAAAGAGAAGAGAGGGAAACAGAGAGAAAGAGCATGACTGCATGTATAATTGAAGACAAAAAATTGCTCTTTGGGGTAGAAAAATGTGCAGACATATTTCACGAAGCCTCAGTTTATCTCTGAATATTTTTACTTGTGTTTTGTACACACAACTGACAGCTGTGTTTATAAAACAGGACTTTCACGTTTTAACCTTACACCACCCAATGAGAAGGTTATTTTTTCCAATACAGATTTCCTAGCTGCTAACATATGGAGCACACCAAGTTGTTCGTGCAGGTACAAATGGTGCCCTGCTCACTGTGGCCTGAAGCCTTGCAGCTAGGGCATGAAGCTAGACTTCAGAAGACGTCTCAGAGACCACGAGCAAATCATTCAGCTTTCATGTGCCAATGTATATCTCTAAAAAGGATAGGAAAGCGTTCCCCTCCTCTTGCAAGGTTGCTGTGAGAATAACTATCTAAAGTACTAAGTGTTCAAAATTTATGGCAACAAAGATTCATACAGACATATGGAAGACAATAACAGACAGGTTTTGGCAGTGATTTCAGTTTGATTCTTATCCACACTCCAGAAGAGAGCAGAGAATCAAACCGAGGACATCCTTTTCCACCCAGGTTACTCGGAACAGCAACAGTCAAAAACACTCTGTTGAGGTTGTTTGAGTCTGACTTGCCAAAATGACAGCAAATGGCAAGAAAAAGGACGGCTCCCTAGAAATACGAACGTACCAGTGCACTGGCAGGTGTGGGCACGCAGCATGTGACTGTACCCAGCAGCAGTCGTGCTCAGCTGGCCATTGCCCTGGAGGAATTTGCTGATTTCTTTTTGGGAAGTCACTCGGAACCCATCCCAAAAAACATAAAAAACTCAGGACCGTGTCTACAATCAAAAATGTATAGGAGTTTTAGTCTAAATTACTTCCTATTTAAAAGGATAACCATGGCGAGCTAGTAACTTAACTTTCAACATTTTTTTAATGGCTGGCCTCTCTGAAGCCAAACATCCCTTTCCCTTTGTCCCTTTCTCCAGCAGTCATCTTTATTTTTAGACACCAAGTCCTTTCTGAAGGTGAACACCTATTACCAGATTTAAATCACCACCCTATTACCAGATTTAATCACTACCACAATATTTTTGAAGGAGCTTTTGCCCTGGTGACCGAAGTGCCCTTCTGGAGGTACTACAGAAAAACCTATCATCTGAATGGTTATCTAGTTTCTGCTTTTGTTTTAGCCTAGTTTTTGGTTGCCTGTTGTAGCTGTGTGGGCTAGGAGAACAAGCAGCGGAAAAAGCAGAAATAGAAAGAAGCTGGTCTTAGCAAGTTCAGCTCCATGTGTAGCTCCAAGCCAAGCTCTCCAAGCACTGCAGTAGAGTGAGATATCTGAATAAATGAATACATCGTGATTGCAAGGAACTTGCATAGCCAAAAGTCATCATACCGTGATCTTAGTAAATGAGGATTGGGAAGAATAAGAACATGTCCTGCTCTAGCCTGACACCACCCCACAACTCCGTCACTGGTAAGGGGCTGCTCTAGGCAGAGGGCTCTGGGGCTATGATCAGGAAAGCACAAAACAGCAGAGTTCATTACCTAGGATAGATATGAGGAGGAGAAAGGCAGGTAAAATTTCTCCCATAACAGAAGAAATAGAGAAATACTCTGCAAATGCTGCTTTTCTAAAACTTAATAGCCCACCCCATACTAATGATTTTATCTCTTTCTTTATAATGTCTGAATTTGCCAACTGGCAAAGACCTACGTCATTTCTAAAACAAAACCATGTTATTAATAAACCAGAATCTAGCATTTTAAAATTTCAAACTAATGTATGTCAAGAGTTTTTCATCATCTAAACCAAAGAAAACAAGCATACTCTTGACCAGAAAACTAGTATGATCTTCCTGGCCTACAGGCAT